ATCTAATTAAAACACCTCAGGTGTGAAAAAATGTGTGGCCAAAAAAAGGATTGGGTGTTTTTGTTTTACCCACCATCATGCTCCAAGTTGAACAAAAAACGCGGCTTGGCTAACTATTGAACGAATATTTGCTGTAAAATTATTATTAATACTATAACTATAGCTACCAGTTTGGCCGCCAATTTTGATTTCATTCCTGTAAGTCCCACAGTTAAACCTAAGGTGTTTTTGATTAGATTGTATATTACATTACAGTTTACTTCTAACGTGTTGATGGCTACTGTCTGGCAGCTTTAACCATAGAATATGTCTAGTCTGTCCAATGTCAGTGCGTATTTGTATCTTCGTGCATTAGCTTTTTAACACAAGTGTAACTAATCATGGATTCTGCAAACTTTAGATCCACGACTTTGTTGGTTACAGTAGCCCTAATGACACACCAGTCACGCGCGCACATAAAATGTAAACAAATAAACATTAATATTACAATCGATTCGTTAATTACTACTCTAGTTTGATATGCATTTACATCGAGATTGAGTGATTTTATCCTTTTTTGTGTCAGATATTTTAATAGGCGAAAATATAAAATCATTCGACATGATGCAATATGTGAAACTCATCGGTAGTGAACGGCGTAAAAACAAGTCAGTGGTTTAACAATAATACTTTGTACGTTACAGATCGTCGTCTAATGGTGTAATAGGAATACCTTGTACGTTATAGATCGTCGTCTAATGGTGTAATAGGAATACCTTGTACGTTATAGATCGTCGTCTAATGGTGTAATAGGAATACTTTGTACGTTATAGATCGTCGTCTAATGGTGTAATAGGAATACCTTGTACGTTATAGATCGTCGTCTAATGGTGTAATAGGAATACCTTGTACGTTATAGATCGTCGTCTAATGACGTAATACGAATACCTTGTACGTTACACATCGTCGTCTAGTGGTGTAATAAGAATACTTTGTACGTTATAGATCGTCGTCTAATGGTGTAATAGGAATACTTTGTACGTTATAGATCGTCGTCTAATGGTGTAATAGGAATACCTTGTACGTTATAGATCGTCGTCTAATGGTGTAATAGGAATACCTTGTACGTTATAGATCGTCGTCTAATGGTGTAATAGGAATACCTTGTACGTTATATATCGCACTCATGTTTTAGTATATGCTACTGCCTTGCATATTTAAATGGGAAAGAGTATAATGTAGAGAAGTTATATTATTACGTATCGTGTTTCTCGCGTTATACAATAGTTTACTTAAATACATAGAACTTGTGAAGAAGTACTTGCTCTATTTTCTTTCCCCGATATTAAAAAAAAATCACTATTTGAATAATAATAACGAAGAACATACTAAAACCAATGTTTACCCAAAATATTTATCTGAAAGTCTCAACCTGTATATGCCGAAAATGCATTTTACTTGTTGCTGTAGAGGAATCATTGAGATAACTTTTAATATTCTTGTGTAATATTTTAGTGGTTTATTTCAGTAACTTCGTGGTACTTTGAAATGGCTGTTGATGTGAAAAAAAAACTCATAAATTTATGATAGCTACTAGTTCTGCTTACTTAGGTTTATTTTAACTTTGAACATCTGGCTAATTTTTCTGAGAAATGATTCGTTGGTTCACATTTTAATAGACAGTTTGTTTATTACGGAATACTACCCATAAATGATTGAGATTGAGTTTTTACCTATAGTTTCAGCCAAATGTTTCACGTTTTGACTGCTGTAAAATAACCACTATGAGTTGTAGGTAGATTACAATCAATATTCGAAATAATTTTTTATAATCTGTATAGTGCCTTTCTAGGAGTACAATTTGTGTATAAATAGGGAATTGATGATCTACATTCTCAAAATACAGAGGGGTGATTATGTTATATGTAACGTCGCGATGGAACAACATGTAAATGAGTGTACAAAATAATAAGCATTATCTAACTCTTGAAATGTATTTATTCACCAATGCATAATTTGAATTGAAAGCTTCGTTCCACTCACCAAAATATGTGTTGAAATGTTGTTTTTTTTCTAATACAGAGTGCGAACCATCAGATGATTAAGATTATTCGCTATTTGGCCAAATATGCTAATTGGTGAATGATATTCAACTAATTAAGAAGAATTTGCTATATGTGAGACAACGTTGTTTGCCACTAAAGGACAGTGTTTGGTTATTAATGTTTTCTTATCTTTATAATGTGAAATAAAGTTAACATCAACGCATAAACTAATAGTTAGTAGTTAAACTATGTGTTAAAAGGAACTACTAAATACTAAGGTGTTCCATACGAGATAGTTGAAACTTTGTTTCGCGGATAAAACTTGATGAAAATCCCAAAACTTTAGTAACGTTGTCACGCGATACATTTCATTTCTCCAGCCCCCCCAGTGGCACAGCGGTATGTCTGCGGACTTACAACGCTAGAATCCGGGTTTCGATACCCGTGGTGGGCAGAGCACAGATAGCCCATTGTGTAGCTTTGTGCTTAATTACAAACAAACAAACAAATAATATCTCCACCCCATCTAATGCCGCATGAAACAATTTTGGAGTGGTCAGGCCATTGCCAAAGCTAAACAATGTGACACACAATGTTTCCAAAGCATACCATTTCTAAGGGGATCCAGAAAATATTTGAAAATTTAATGCTATGAGATTTAATTTTGAATTATTTTAACTACAGATACTACATACACACAGCGTAGTGTATTGAATTAAAAGAAGCAAGTTATAATACATAAGTTTTAGCTATACATGCCATGAAAAAGTGGTCAGGCCATGGCCTGACTAGCCTTACCGCTTGCTACGGCCATGCACTCCTCCTAAAAATGAAATTTGTACTCTCAACGTTTTCAGATTTTAATAACTATATCGTTTTCAACTCTCCCAGTGAGTTAGCGGTAAGTTTACGGACTTCCAACGTTAAAATCCGATTTAGTTTTTGAGGTGAAATAAGAACAAATAATTTGGCGCGAATTTTTATTATATTAATCCACTCTTATATTTAGTTCCATTTTAAAGGATTAAAATGTAGTTAATAAGCCTATGAATAAAAAAACAACAAAAAACATAACGCCACAAAGGACATTAAACATCAAACTGAGTTGCTCTCAACAAATATGACTGAATGTCTGTAATGATGTCATAATGGCGATGGTTGGCTCAATTCTCAGTCATCGTACTAGATGTGTATTTTGTCCCGAAAGATTTATAACATGTTATACTTTAATCATCCTTAAAGGAGGTGGGCAGCTTGCTGGGAGAAATAATAAATCCTAGTCTTCGAGGAGGTGAGGGTGGGAAGGGGTTAAGTGATTGATTTATAGGAAAGCATCTAGCCAAAAGTATTCACCGATAACTCTTGGGCTACTCTAATCGAATTGTAGGAGCTAAATGTTGCTCTTATAACGCACCCTATGCTCCAAAGTGCAGAGGACGATTTTGCGGCACCCGGATGAGAATCATGGACCCCGATATTTACAGTCCAGCATACTCACCAATAGGCCATGCGTAGCTCGGAGTGGTGGGAGGGTAAGAAACTGTCATTTTTAACTTTTTTTCTTCCTTGTACTTTACATTTTTATGGGGGGGGGTCAACCTTTCATTCTACTGTGGATCCACAATGGTCTGGCATGGCCTGGTGGTTAAGGCGCTCGACTGGTATTCTTCGAGTTGCGTGTTCGAATCCTCGTCACACCGAACATGCTCGCTCTTTCAGCCATGGTGGCGTTATAATGTACTGGTCAATTCCATTATTCGTTGGTAAAATAGTAGCCCAAGAGTTGTCGGTGGTTGGTGTTGACTAGCTGCCTTCCCTCTAGTCTATCACTGTTAAATTAGGGACGGCTAACGCAGATAGCCCTCGTGTAGCTTTGCGCACAATTCAAATCAAACCAAACCTTTCACTCTTTTCTCTCGTCGGATATTATACTTGTCCATATGAAACTCGTGTTTTCGTTGTCGGTGATTGAAAATTTATGAGTTATGCGGTGTTAGATCGCAGTCTACATATATATCATAAATAGAATTTTACTTTTTGTTTGTATGAACTAAATATTCAAAATTTATACATAGAAATATATATATATATATGTGTGTAAGTGTGTATGTATAGAAAATCAATACTCAAACAGTCAAGCAATACAAAATCAGAAGGAAGGACTGTGTTAAAAACAGCAGATCCAAACCTGTGATAAATGGCATTTAAATGAACAAAAACAAGCCCAAACAAAAGTCAAATCAAAGACACTGTACAAATCAAGAGAATACCTAGGGTACAGGCTATAATGTGGGATATAAAATGTTCCCTGTGTTTTGTAGGTGTCTGCGGAATTGAGACCCATTGCGGTGGAGATACACCGTTTATAAGTCTTAACCTCCGTTCGCTAGTCTCACATGAAGAAATTAAAAAATAAAATAATTAAAAGAAGAAATTAGGAGAGCGAGATGCGGGTGCTCTAGCCCACAATGTCCCACATCTATATCATCTTTCACTGCCTGCAGACACTTGCGGGAAGGTGACTGCTTTCCAAAGTAGAATAACTAAATAAAAAAAGGAAAAACGAAATAAGGTACCACTTGGGGTAAGTAAGGTAAACTTACCTCCTATATATATATATATATTCGTATTTTGAATACTTAATGTTTAGTTTAAGTTTTTATTCATTACACCCAGGTAACTCAGTGGTAAGTTTGAGGGCTTATAACGCTAAAATCTGGTATTCGATCCATGCAGTTAGCACAACGCAGATAGCTCATTGCTTAAACGTTTTGCTTAAACCAAACAAACTTTACTAGTTTGCACGTGTTACGCATAACTTGGTAACTGCCATGACTAATTATATTTTTGTTTGTGTGTTCCATTTTTGTGTTTCAATTCGGGCTTTATTATACGCATCTGAGACTTTATCGTGGGAAGAAAGTACTTCCCATCCGATGGTGTAGTTAAGCCATCTAACGAGAGTTGCGAATGACGAATGTATTACACGTGTGCTCCGAATACATTTTAAGGTTTTCACGATTTCGTATATAAAGAAATAGGAGCACAAAAAATATCACTGGTGGCGAATGGTTGGGCCCATTTTGCGTTTTCAAGTGTTACAGACTGTGTTATTTCTCCCTACGCACATAACACATGCAACTTAGAATTCAATGCACGTTGTTGAAGGAGCCTAATGTCTTCGTGATCTACTTGTTCGTATTTAAAATGCCATCCAAGTAGCCATCGTGGGCACTAGAAATTGGTTCCATAGGCTACAGTGGTAAGCTAAAGCATGTCAAGGACATCAGAACGATGCACATATTCACATTCAGTAAAGTCCAACCCTATTCGAGTCTATTTGCGTCCAGTCCTGTCTTAATACGTTTACTACAAACAGAGACCGGTGTTTCCCCTAAGCACGAGCACTTCCAACAGGTAAGTCTTGTTGTCAGATCTTTGTTTCAGGTCCACTAAAATATTATGAGGATATCAGCAGTTTTGTTTGGGTTGTGATTTATTTATAAGACCAACATTGTCCTAGGAAACCTAAGAATAGAAAAATAAATTTTTATTGTTTGTATCATCATTACTGTTTAATTTTCTGTCCTTTAATCCCACAGCGGTATGTCTGCGCACTTAAAACGTAGAAACCGGGTTTCGATACCCGTGGTGGGCAGAACAGAGATAGCCCATTGTGTAGCTTTGTGCTTAATTACAAACAAACAAACATTTAATACCAATATCAGAACTGTTAGGTTAAAAGTAATAAATTTTGGTAATGATATGAGGGGTTACTTTATGTTTTTATGTGCTGTTAATATATAATTAATAAATAGTAAATGGTAATTTCTGTCTCAAAAGTCAATAAAAGAGCATAAAAATAGAAGTTGTGTTAGAAAAAATATTAACGTGAGATTGAATATAAAAAATACACGAGCTTAGTAGTGCAGTTGGATGTTTAACCATTAAAAACTCTGCTCTATCAGCTACCCCATAATTAAACTTTTATATAACAGAAGGCAGCAAGTCAACAGTATCCACTGCCAATTCTTGGAACACTCTTGTCTGAACGAATAGTGGAATTTGACCATGACTCTTGCAGCGCACCCACGGCCCCAAAAGTACGGAACGCGTTTGTGCGGCATCGGAAAGCGAACTATGAATTTTCGTATTCACAGTCTGGGCACACTATCCACTAGCCCACACCCAGCCCAAGCTCTTTAGCATACTAGACTGTACTCTGATGAAGTTTTAAAACTGTACGTTCTATAAAGCGTATATTGCAAAACGTGAAACGCAACAGAGTATAGAACAAGATTAATAAAAGTCAGGAAGAAGCCATCAAGTAGTTAAAATAAAAGGCTATAAATTAATGACTTCTGAATGAACAGAACTTGTCTTGTTTTGAAAGAGTGTCAATGTGAACGTTCGCACTTAAAGATTGGCTCTCGTTAAAGATAACGTGGCTGATTTACAATTCAGAACACCATTTGTTGATTTAGTCACTTAACAGATAGGTGATGACAAAATGAGGTTTTTAAGGATCTGAGTGTTACTAACATCCTAGTATATTATATTTTCTCTGCGTAGAGTTATACAATATACTCAAGGTGCATGAAAACAAGAATATCTCAAGTAACTTTAAGTTTCGTTGGATACTTTTTGTTGTTAAGCACAATAGCCATTTGTGCTCTGCCCACCGTGAGTATAAAACCCCGATCTTTAATGTTATAAGCCCCTAGAAATGGCTCTAAGCCACCGGGGGGGGGGGTCTTTGGAGACCTTTTTGTAATCTTGAGAATAGACTAAGTGACACATAGATGGTCTAAACATTCGTCTTTTCGATCTTTAATATTTTCGCTTATTTTTCTGTAGCTGTGAAGGAGGTTCATATCACTAAAGTTCAAGCCAGTGCCATTAAATAATGTAGAATATCTCCACATTCCTCCAGGCTTCTTAATCTAAAAAAACAAATTCATTCTAGAGCATGAAGAGTTGGTTGTTATATTTTGGTTTTACTATTTAGTTCCTAGCAACACTATAACAAACGACTCGAATAAAGCGACCGTTATCGGTCAATTCTTTCCTCTCTTTACTGTCGTCGGTGGTTTAGTGGTAAACTTGAGGGCATTTAATGCTAAAATTCTAGCTACGATCCTTGTGGTGAGCACCGCGCAGATACTCTTTTGTGCAGCTTTGTTTTTAACAGTATACAAAATTCCACCTTTAGAGACATTTCTTGATTCATAGATAGAATGAAATACATTTTTGCTAAAATATATAAGAATTTAAACCAAACTTGCAAATGATTATTAATTCAACCGGCCAAATCAAGTCCGTTAATGCCTCTCTTCATGTATGTGTGTGTGATGACATGGCTTACAATTGGAGTAAGCTGAAGATCTGATAAGGTAATTAGCGGAACAAAACATTGTTTACTTGTTGATCAGTATAAAAATGAAATAACTTGTTATGTGACTTAGATACAATCAGTCTCTTTGTAAACTTTTCAGGTGATGTCGTGCGGTAGCTGAGAAAACCATGTCAGCGAGATGCCGAGGAATTTCAAAGGTGAATACATTTCAAAATATTAGGATGTTCAGTGCAACTAATTTCTACCACCGATTTTCTTGTTTGTTTTAAAGTTCACACATCTATCATTGCTAATATTAGACTGCCAGCAATTTAAGCGATGTTGGAATATTTTAGGGGTACTTGTTCGCCGACGTAAGAGAAAAAATAAATTTTCACACAGTTCGAGAAAAAACACACAAATAACACCTCTGATGCACATAAGTAAATGAATATGTTAAAACGTTAAATACTTCAAACAGACAGAATTCCAAGAATAGCGTAGTTGAAATCGAACGTTTTCAAAACATTCGCTTATAAAGCATTTCGAACGCAAATACGAACTTTTGATTCACAGAATTATTTATGACCTAACGATGCATATTACCATTCAATGTTAATTTTTTTAACCGTTCGTGTTTCGTAAAATCGCTTTGAAATTACTAATTAAAACTTTTATGGGAAATAAAGACAGTACAGTTGATTTAAATATATGTTTTAACAGTACCGCAAAACACCTAAAATTGAATTAGAAGTTGAACACACATATCTTGGACTCTTCAAATAGCAGTAAATTATACTTGGAGATGTTAAAAAAAGATATGAAATTATATAACTTTAAACACACTATCGTTAAACACTTTAAACACACTATCGTTAAACTAAGTCACCTAGATAGGGTATTAATTTTATTTAATACCTATATAAAAAGAAATATCAATATGAATGAGCCTGCCCATCACCTGATTGGTTCGATTTGAGAGGTAGTAGAAATATAGTTAGAGGTGTAATATATGCATACACACACACAGAGAGTCATCGTAATGTCAATAACTATATAAACGAAGAATATAGTTTCATAATGCCTTTATAGTCGCTACTGAGAAAAGCAGGGTAACCGATATTTCTTACTTATTCATCAAAACCTTTCGAACTTTTAAGTACGATTGTAAAGCATAAAAGTCAAGATATACTAAATAAATTTCAATGAACTTCTTAGTCTGACAGACATTGAAATTTATTTGGTATATCTTGTAGTCCCCTCTTTTTTTTCTCTGTCAGCCTAAGAAGATCATTGAAATTTATTTGGTATATATTGTAGTCCCCTCTTTTTTTTTCTGTCAACCTAAGAAGTTCATTCAAATTTACTTAGTATATCTTGTAGTCCCCTCTTTTTTTTCATCTTCTTAGGTTGACAGAGAAAAAAGAGGGAATTAATTGCAGTTTTGTGTGATTTTGAACTATTCTTTTCAGAGTTTTGGAATTTCGAGAAGCAATACATTTTTGATATTTGAAGTTGAATTAACTCTTAATCAAAGGATGTAATTGTAATTTACGAAGCCAGCATAGTGATTACTCATCTATCTTAATGCTTCAAGTTGTAAAAACAGTTTTAAGTATGTTAATTAACCGCTATTTTTAGATAATTCAGAAAATGTTACTAAAAATTATGGTAATTTCAGAAATACTGTAGATCTACTTATCGTTTAAACTAAACATTTTCAACATATTTAGTTAAGCCTATAGTGACGTCTAGTTGTAGGTAACTGTATGGTTTTATGCAATCAAATATTAAATCTATTTTGCGGAATTATTTGCCATTAGTTGTTTATTTTTTTTAAGATGTCATAATAAATTGTTTACAGTTTATTTATAGATTGAAAGAGAATTAAAGCAATAGAATTGTAAGACACTTAAGTATTTTATTTTAACAAATACCCACAATATTTAAAATAATGATGGAAACGCTGATGAAAAAGGCAAATAGATACAAAAGGAATGCCATTACCTTTTTATGTGTGTCTGTATGAAAATAAACTACGTACAGTCACATGCTCATAGTTTACACTGTGACTTGATGTAATCCAACCAATCATATTACACTCACTGTTAAAGAGCTTATAAAAGCACAGACAGTCATAGTGTGCTCAGGTAGATAGTGTTACCCTCCCAAGCTAGAAATTAATCTTAAACTCCTAGTCAGTCACCTAAATAAGCATAACTATCGACAGTTATCATACCCACCATGATGCCTGTAAGTCTGATCACTCCAGTAGATCTAAATCTTAAAACCGCGTGTAGGGGCTGAAGAGAAACAATAGTTTCTGAGCACCCCAGGTTGTCTCTCAAGCACCTTCGGGGCTTCTGAGATTTAAAACATAAATGACTGTCAAGTTCATTCAGTCAATGTGCCCAGTAATAGAAATATGATATATATCTAGGACGGAAATATCACATGAAAAGCATGTAGAAATCAAAGTTTTGGGTGATTAAGGACGCTCCATGTAAGACTCTATGTTTCAAAAAAACCTTAAGTAAAACACTGAAACTGTTAGGTGAAACATACGATGTTAGTAGTAAATGTGATCGAGGTAGAAAACCAAAACTCCCTAAAAGTGATTTTAAAAAATTCGGGGTATATTCTTTTCGACATAAATGACGTTCGGGTACAGATGGTGTCATCGATCTTGCTGTAAATACAGGTGTGTGAATGTTACATCAAGAACAGTGAGATACACATTGATATTAAGTAGCCTGAATGAACATGTAACTGTTCTAAAACTGTTGATGAGAAGAAGTAATCAGAAATTTTCAATCGGCGTTTCACCACAACAGTGTAATTAGGAAAGCTGGAGACTTGTGTTCTTTCTAGATGAATCCAAGTTCGAATTGTTCAGCAAACATCCAATGAAAGTTTGTTCGATTATGGAGAGGAAGAAGATCGCATCATATACAGTGAAGCATGCTGGGAGATCATTGTTAGATTGGGATTGCATCTTAGCCAACAGTGTCGTACACTGTGTTTGTACACAAACTGAAGGCACCCTGACTGCTGATAGTTACAGATAGTTACAAATGCGGGGAAACAATATTTTATGGTAAAGAATGACGATGAAACATGGCTTGAGCCTGAACTTATGTTAAAGCTGGGAAGGTCAAATGTCGAAAAAACAACATGGATGAATTGTGGGGATTAATACAGGACACTTAGAGCAATATATGTACATTAATAAACTGTATGGATAATGATTGATATCACTAATAAATTCATCTGTTTACCATTACTCGTTGTCTGTGACTCAGGTATCTGTATCAATTGTATGTTTCATAATGATCTCTATTACTGTACATTTTAATATATTAGATAGCATGAGGTTTTACTATTTTCCCGTTCGTAGATTGTATATATACAGTTTAAACAAATTTACTATATTCTTGTTTTTTGGCCGAACTTTTAAGTTTTTAAGATATCATTCCTTATTAACTATATAATTAAATTATATCAATATTAGACATTTTTAAGTAAATCATCGTGTTGATTTCATCTTACTTAGGATTACACGAAGAACCTAATGTTTGAAGTGGATTCATGTTAGTTTGTGTCATATTTTTATAGGAATATGCTGGACTGTCGTACTTCTGTTCGCTTTGGTTACTTGGAGTCGTCATATTCAAGCAGATAAGGTATTGTATTGAATATTCCGATTTAAACCAAATAAAAATTCTGTTTTATATGTACGCCATTGAAGGTAAAATACATTAACTCTACATAATTCAGTTATCTGTGTGTGGCGTCTCCAATGTCCCGTTAATCGTTACAATAAGTTTTCTCGTTACAATAGACTACAGTTCATTGCATTTATTTGTGTATAACCCAGAATTTTGTATCATTAGTCCTATGTCCCCTGGTAGAAAAGTGATATGTTTACGGACTTGTAATGCTAAGATCCGGGGTTCAATTCTTCGCAGTGGACACATCAGATAGCCAAATGTGTTTTTGCTGTAAAACAAACAAACAAACAAATATTAGTCTCCTGAGACTCAGCGTTGAGCCTCGGGGGCTGTAAAGCTGAATTTGGGATTTGATCCTAGCTGCCGACACTGATCAGATGAAGAAGTTGATGTATTATATATTTTTTAACTTTGTGGTTAAAGATAATACTGCCACCTAAGTAGCTAGTTTGGGGGGAATTTTCAACAAATGTCATATAGTTTTTGTTTTGTGTTTATTTGTAAAGCTAGACAAGTACCACAAAATCTGAAAGTATTTAAAATTAGTGTGACAAATTTACTGAATTTTCAATGTTGTGGGCTGTTATTGTTAATGTTCTGTGTATGCCAACATTTGAATTGAAATTCAATATATTTAGTACGAGTAATTTATATATAATAAATATAGCCAGTTAAGATTACTTACATTTCTAGAGTTAATTACTAAAATGGGTTACTGATTCACAACAAAAGTAATTAGTTTCTTGTTTCCAAATTAGAATCCGTTTGTTATGAAAACAGAGTATGATCTATACACCATTATGAGAATATGAAAATCACGAAGTTACATAACAATCCGATCCGATATAAAGTCATAGTGGGGCGACATGTATCAGAGCTAACTTTTTCATATTGTTTGGCGTTTGTAGTATATACTATCGAAAACTGATCGTTTTGGGGAAGAATATTTAACAAAATATTCGTACATTCAGATCATAAAGATATGTTTAAATCGGGCATTTAGCATTTCCAAGTCGGAGATATTCCTTATACTTAATGGCATTAAAAAACAAAGGAATATGGATCAGCTTGAGGTTCAAGGAGCACCCAGAATGAGACCTGTAACAAGTCGTACCGAAAATGTGATAAGCAAAGTGCGGCGTCTTATGACAGGTGAGGATCTATAAATGCAAAGGTCAGTGGTAAAAGCCGTTCACAAAACCTAGGCAACAGAACACAACATAATCAAGAAGGATCTGCGTCTGAAAAAATTACAAATGTCACGTGTAACGGGTTGCTTCCACGATTTATTAATTCAACCGTCCATACCTTAAATAGTTGGAAAATGAAACGAAGATTGAGTTATTCCATAAATATACACACTTGTCGAGTCACCAAACACAGTGCTTCTGCATTTATATGCAACCGGGCTGTTAAAACTAGTTAGATTATAAAAAGCCTTAGGGGTTAGCGGTGTACTTTTGACATGACAGCATTACTACAGTGTTTTCTGAAACGGAAAGATCATGGTCATGAGATAGATCATAGCTGGACATAACGACGTGGTTAGCTTCCAAAATCGTTTTAATATAACGTACGTAACCTCTGTATATTTGTGTAGAGAAATATAGGGTTCGAAAAATGGAACTCAGCCAACAGTCAAGGAGAGAAACAGGATATGATATCAGGCGGGAGATAAATTCTAAAGAAGATCCAGAACAATATATTCATTTCACCATTCAAGTTTGTGTTAATGCTAACTTGTATTTATCAAAATAAATGTGAAATAAATCAACTTTAATCAATTCTCATTCTCCGAAATAATAATAATGGAAATACACCCTTTAGAAATAGGTAATCAGGTAAATGATTTAAAAGTAAGTCGGTATCAAATAAACTAATAAAACCTTTTTTTTCAGTTATAATTTCTAAATGTCGCTCGTTAACTTATCAAGAAGATGGATTAACATTTATGAAAAAAGTTATGTACAAGAAGTTAGATAATCCACTTTGAATTGTATCTGAGTGTTTAACTTTCAAACACTCCCTTTGAAAGACTAAGGATAGAACAATGAATTTCAACCTTGTTTTTTGAATGTTGGTATTTAAAATATAGAGGGAAGGCAGTTAGTTAAAAACACCAACCGCCAACTCTTGGGCTAATTTAATCGAATAGTGGAATTTGACTGTAACTCTTACCCACCCATGTCTCCAAAGTGTAGAGCGCGACGTTTTTAAGGTAATGGGACGCAACCATGGAGCTTCAGATTAACAGTTTGGCACGCTAATCAGCTACGATCTTAGCTGTAGTCAAACAACTTGCTGAAGTTTTACATTATATAACAGGTAATTTATTTTAAACTAAATCACAGTTCCATTTAGGTGTACTTTCAATATCACTAATTATTTTGAATCATTACTGACCTTAATCAACTCTTTTTCAAATATAATCCCAATTATTTACCACATAAAAACAACACACGTACACACACTACTTTCTGGCATTAGCTTGTTTGTTTAGTCCAAGCATAAAATAACTTAAAACACGGCTTTTCTTTTCTACTTCCTTTTATTCTTTGGTAAAAATCTTTAAGTGAAAAACAATTAATTATATTATTATCTTTCTTCTATTCCATCAAGTACAAATTATCTGTTAAGATCTTTACCTCTTCGTATTGTGGAATGTTTTTATATGACGGTAATCTAGGTATTTGTAGTTTCTTGTAAGTGAGAAGTAAGTAACTTGAATTCAGTTGTATTTAAAACAGGTCTTGCGTTATTTCATCGTTCCTTCAGTAACATTCACTGTTTTTGATAAAGATAATCTTAGTATTTCCAGACTTTTCTACAGCCTTATAGATATTTGTGTTAATTTCTTAACCTCCAATGTGGTAGTCCAGCCTTTCAATGCTTCTTAGAGTTTCTGGTTTTGTTCTTCTAATTGTGCTGTTATTTTCTTGGTCCAAAGCTACAAATTCGTCTATCTACACTCTGCCTACTGCGGACAATCGAACTCCAGGTTTTAGCGTTAAACTTACCGCTGATCCATCCAGAGACTACTGTGAAGTAAACAATAATCATTTTTGTATTTAATTATTCTGAATTTTGACAGTCTTTTGTCATTTGAATCACGGTAAACTTTGAAACTTTAACACATATACTAAATTCTGACTACGACTTCATTGCCTAACCCTATACAAATCACTCGAGATTTTGAATTATATATTTTTTTCTTTTCAGACTACGAAGCACATTCTGGGTTCTCTTAGGTATTTTTGTGAATAAACGACTTTGTTTCCAGATAACAAAACCAAACGTATCAGTTTCCATTTTTATCTAGGGTTACAGCAGCAACGAGAATCGGCTAGAACTGAAAGGATGTTTATCTTGAATTTGATTGGAGAAAATGGTCGTTCATGCACAAAATCTTCCAATCATCTCTCTTAGATAAGAGCTTTCAATGTTTAAATCAAACAACAACATTTTGCATCATTGTTACAATTCTATATTTACACTGTAGTAGTTTCTAGTTAGAAGATAATGTTAAGCGATTGTGTGATTTTACGTTGGGGTCTAAGTTTCTAAAATGCCATATTTTTATATTTTATTTTAACAAATATATATGTTATGAAATAGTATCACTTATAAAATACGGATCTATTCGTATGACCATTTGTACTGCTTCAAGTAATGCGCTATTATGTTTATTACACTTTCAGTTCTGCTTTATAAGAACACAGAGTTTAAAGAACAGTTCTGGTTTCCTCTCAGATATAGCTTCGCTTATTTATAATATATGTGATAACAGCATATATAGAGGACCTAATTAACAATAACTCGTCCATTAGAGATGAAGGCGTATAAAAATGAATGTTATTCTCAACCCTGGGTTAGTAAAACAAACTGAATGTATTATAGAGTTGGAGATAAATATCTGAAAAAAAAAACATTCGTGCACATTGAAGGACACGGGGATACGAAACGTTAACTACCAAGTGTAACACTAAGGTCTAATCATTCATATAATGTCTGGTGTTTATTAATGGAGTTTGGTAAAATTTAGTTTAATTAACAGTTACGAAATTGTCAACGCGTGTATTACCATAATAACAATACACACATCCTTAACAAATTAAATTTTTTTTGTAAAAAAAGCAGATTTGGGTTAATTAGAATAACTAACGCATACTTCAAATCCACAATATCGTTGTGCACCCACAACGCGCCAAATAATAAAAAAAAAAACATCAAGTCAACGAGAAAACAGTTTGTACCAAATGATAAGAATATTTCCTTCAATAACAACTGGACATTTCTGAGAGTTGTCTAGATGGAAATGCCGGAGTTAGTTTTTTATGCTCAAATTCTTTTTAGAAAGATAAAAAGTAAAACTTAATGAATTATTCAGAAACGTTTAAACCTCAAGAGAAATAACACGGAAAGCGAATTTTGTTTTTATTACAGCAAAACAATCAACCACATGAACGACAGTTCAAATGTAAAAGCTACTTTTCTTTAGTCAGTAAGATTTACTTTAAAATATTATAGCAGTTAATCACCTCAAAATTAGATAATAAATAAAGCTGACTTACACTTGTGTTTTCAGAAATCACCAAGAAAATATGATATAGTCCGGCATGGCCAGGTGGTTAGGGCGCTTCACTCGCAATCTGAGGGTCGCGGGTTCGAATCCCCGTCCCACCAAACATGCTCGCACTTTCAGCTGTGGGGCGTTATAATGTGACGGTCAATCCCACTATTCGTTGGCAAAAGAGTAGCCCAAGAGTTGGCGGTGGGTGGTGATGACTAGCTGCCTTCCCTCTAGTCTTTCACTGCTAAATTAGAAGTAGCTTAAGGTTGGGAAAAGGAGCAACAGGAATATATATACTAAATGTCATAACTAAACAAGCTGTGAGAAGTATCTATGTAACCACACGGCGTGTTCACAAGAATCTTCAACTAACACCCGGAACTCATAGGTTAATTTGTTTGTCTTTAATAAAATATGTGAATTGTGTCAGTATATGTGTGTGTGTTTACAAATTTTATTTTTGCTTTTTAATAAATTTATTGTATTTTAAGGTTCATGAAACATAAACAAAGCATAACGGTTGCTATCTTTTTACTCTCGCCTCAACAATGTATTATTTTACACAATAATATCTGAATTATTGTTGACTGTGTACGTGTTCATAAAACTTACTATTAGACATGCTTGAATCAATATTTTTAACTGAGTTATTCTATTTCTTGTAAAATAAGAAATCGAATAACTCAGTTAAAAATATTGATGCAAGCATGTCTAATAGTAAGTTTTATGAACACGTACACAGTCAACAATAATTCAGATATTATTGTGTAAAATAATACATTGTTGAGGCGAGAGTAAAAAGATAGCAACCGTTATGCTTTGTTTAT